CCCTCATTCCACATGAGGCCACTCCGGCCCCAGCACCTCCGAGGATTCCCTATGTGTGTGATGCCAAGTTCAGGAGTTTACCTATTTTCCTAACAGGGCTGGCATCAGAGTCAGAGGGAGAGAGCGTAGCTGGAGAGGAGAGGGGTGCACTTGGGCAGTGGGACAGGAGACAGAAAAGGAGAGGACAGACGCCAGAGCTCACCCCCCCGACCCCTGGGTAAGGAGGTGCCTTCTGCTTCCCCCGGTGGGACCAGGAATGTTCAGGGAGCTGGAAGAGGCCACCTGTGAACAGCCTTCCGTCTGGCTGTATGTGCCTCTTCAGGGGACGAGCGCTGCGCAGAGGCTGGTCCTTGCTGGGGGGCGGCCGGGGAGAACTGCTGCAGGACCCCAGCACGTCCTCTCTGCTGCACGGCGTTCTGGGAAGGTGCCGGGCCCAAGCCCAGGCTTCCTCCACCCGAGGGCTGGACTCCAGGTGTGCAGCGGTGCAGGGGTGGCCAAGCTCAAGTGTGCAGGGAAGGACGCTCCTTTCCTTTTGATCCAGGAGTTATTTATAGCTTCCAAGTAGCAGGGAGAAAAGGCGTTGCAAACCCTGCGTTTTGCTGGAGATCCAGGAGTTGTGACAGGAACTGGTCTTCTCTGCAGGGGAGGGAGGCCTGGGGGGGTCTGGAAAAGGGGTCTTCAGCTACCCCCTCCTCCTAAGCCTGCTCCACCCCAGGCTCCTTCCCGCCTCTCATTGTCTTGTCTCCAGTTTTCTGTGGCTGGCAAATGGTTACATTGTAGCACTTCTCACACCTCCAAGTTTCCACTGAGCAGGGGCAAGAACAGCATGGGCCTTGCAGATTGCTGGGTAATTGCTTGGGTTCCTGAAGAGTCCATGATCCCGAGGTGAGCCTTGAAGCCATTGGGACCCTGCGGAAGGAAGCTGGGGGCGGGGGAGGGGGGAGGAAAACCAGCCCCGCCTCCTTAGAGAGAAAGCAAGTTACTCCCCTGGGTAACAGCGGGCCAGTCCCACCAGGATCCCAGGCTAACTGCGTGCCAGTGCCCCCGGGATCCCTGGGTAACAGCAGGCCTGTCCCCCTAGGGATCCCTGGGTAACAGCAGGCCGGTTCCCTCGGGGATCCCTGGGGGATAGTGTGGAACATGTCTCAGCTGTCCCATCAAGGAACAGCTGAAGAAGCCAGGGATTTCATCACTAACTCCCTGCCTGTCACTGGGTGAGTGGCCTTCTGGGCCATGAATTCTAAGGCAGTGCAGCTTGCCCTGGACGTGGGGGACCGAGCACTCACCCCCACTCAACACAGACAAAAGCAGAAATGCAGAGTACCCACTGGGAGCCTTGGTAGCAATGTTATGACTGTACTCACTCACTGCCCTTGAGTCAGGTCCAACTCACAGTGACCCCTCCTTGGGTTTCCGAGGTGGTATCACTCTGGACGTAGACTGCCCAACCTTCCATCCGAGGAGTGTCTGGTAGATTTGAACCGCCAGCCTTCTGGTTAGCAGTCAGATGCTTTAGGCACTATGCCACAGAATGTCATAATAAAAACGTGGACTTTATGTGGTGCGTTTTTTAAAACTTCATTCCTACATTTATTTTTAAGGTGCTTACAAGGGTATGGACAATGGCAGGTTGGGTATAAAATCTGGTTTGGGAACCGTTAGTCTAAAGGGACACAGACCCTAATGGAGAATCAGACAGAGA